GAGAGGATGAAGACGCCGCGGCGGCACATGCATCCGCGCCTTGCCTAGAGCTCACACACTCACACACTGATCACGATCAATTACGCCGATCACGCTCCAGTCATCCTGAGCTTGACTCAGAATTCACGGTCAGTGAGACAGACAGAGCACTGAGAAACAGCAGGCTTATGGTACATGGTACATGCAAATCTTTCTACAAGAAGAATCACCTACTTGTATGAAACAACGATTATCCTGACCAGTACTCATAGGGCGCCTGCAAAGCTACTAATTCTGGATTCCCCTACCAAGATACGGTAATCATCTGCTGAATAGAAAACGTCATCTGCTGTCCCTGGCACCGCAACAGTCATTCTCTCAGCGTACCTATAGCTGCAATTCGTCCAACACAGTCTTGAGTCAGGATTGCGCCCGCGACCTCCTTCATTGATCGCGCATTCAGTATGGCCACGCGACCCGCACGAGCGTTGGTTCGATCTGCATCCTCACTCGATGGCACTTACGATCGATTTCCAAAGCGAGCACGGCAAGCGTCCAACAAGGTCCCACAGCCGAGCCCGTCTCCAATCTCAGATCATGCAACAAGCAGCAGCACTCAGATTCCTAGGCGTGGCAGATCATCCAAGCAGCAAGTAGCGTCGCCTGAATCACCTGCACGAGAGTCACTGGACAAAGCACCAGAAGGTGTGGTCAGCACGCTCTCCGCCAATCCAAGTCCTGCCGCCGATCACGTGTTGAGTGAAGCTATTGCTCTCAAGGATGAAGGGGACAGCGATGTGGATGACGCTGACTACGAGGCGGAAAGAATGAAGCGAATGAAAGAGAATGCCGAGCTGTTGGCCAGTCTGGGCCTCAATGTGAGTCGGCGCATGGCAACTCGGATCTGCCTCCGCACTGGGCTGTGCGACATTCCCTTGCGGCACCAGTCAGCCTGAGATTGTGGGCCTTGGTTGGAATGAGCTTCTAGCTGACCAGGACCGGGGTCACGCCTTTTGCCATGCTGCACGTGCTTGTCGCCCACAGAATGTCGAGATGGCGCGTCGAATTCAGAGCACAGAAAATCCCAAGACGGGTCGTTCAAGCCATCGAGCGAAAGCGAATGGCAGATCTCAAAAGGCGGCAATGATCGAGCCGACTCGACGATCTTCGCGCAAAGTCTCTGCGCCCGCTTACTACGCAGCGGAGCGCGAGTTTAGCGATGAACGCTCCACATTGACCCGCGCGGAGAGGGCAATGCGACGAGCATCGGGCGGTGCGGGTCGAAATGGAGAATCTGTGTCCATCAGACCCAACTTCAAGCTCAAGTCTCTGCCCGTCAATCGTCCGGGTCCGAGCAGCTCGTCCACCAGCGTACTCAAAAAGGCCGAGCAGCTCCCAGACGGACCGCCGCCGAAGCGCAAAGGCAAAGTCATCCATTTCGAGAAGGGTTACGAGCACTTCACCCCGAATCTCACACCGCGCGAGATGCTTGAAGGTGGAATGTTTGGAGGCGGCCCATTCAGGTGAATAATGATGCGAGGGCAGAAGCTTCTGATGTACTACTTGTCCATCGTCCATTTGGACTGACACTCTAAAAGTCATCTTCACGCTTCTCTTAGAAAACATTTCAGCAGCGTACTCCATCGCACTCTGGGCAACTCAGATGCCCAAGAATTCGAGATTGACGGCATACCCAAGGAAAAGCTCTACAACCCGGATTACGATCTCGACAAAAATAGGTTCGGAGTCAAGGCTGGTCAGACTTTGAGCGATTGGGAGAGAAATGGATGGATCCATGAGCAGGACCCAAGAGGATGGTTTCAGGTAAGTGCGGATCCCCAGTTCGCCGCGATGACGAGCTGATGAGCTCGAGCGATCATACCCAAAACGCAATTGCAGTGGTACTTCCGCTTCCATGCTGGTCGCCGCACAGCTGACGATGAGAGGCAGATATCGCGATGGTTGGGAGCTGCGGGCCCGAATGGCAGGTTCAAGAAAAGCCTTGTCGGGAAGGTGATGGCCTCGAGCGGACGTTGGGACGACGAAGGCGTATCGCCCGTTGGTGAGTCTGGTTAAATGGAATCGAACGGTGACGTTGCACAGCTAGGCTCACATTGCGGCCTGCTTCGGACGGCGCAATAGTGCGACAGACGCTGTTTCACTGGGCGTATCAGCTCACAGAAGAGGATTACGACAAGTACTCGACGTGAGGAATGTGTCGGCGCAAACGGTCTACGTGAGCGCGCAGCTGTCCTCGCGACATCCAGCCGTGAGGTCCAAGCGGCATAGTCGTGCTCGTTGGACCCTAGAAGGAAGGATTCGGCGTCAATACGCGACTTTTCGAGAAGTTTTCTCACAGTTCCTGGACCTCACATGTCCGCTCCTGATGTATCGTCTGACCTGCCGACGAATACAACTTCACACGCTTCACAGCGCAACTCGCTCGACATCGCAATTCCAAGCACTGATTCGCTCTATGATGTGTCCTCTTCTACAATTCTATCTCCTTCATCTGCCTTGATTGTGCTAGAGCCCGTCCCTGCAGCCAGCTTGCTGCCGAGCCAAGCAGTAGCCAAGAATAGCGTCACGACCTGAGCAAACTTGATGAGAGGGTTGGATCTCTGCGTCTCGGTCTCTGGAGCCATGCCGTGGCCTGCTGACGAAGAATACGCCTGGGGCCTGCCTCTCTTCGCCGCGAACTCCTCCCTCGCCCTCTGTGATCTGACCATGCTGTCGAATGCGGCCCTTTGAGCTTCTTGCGACGCGCCCGACGTTTCTGTTCCAGCTCCGAAGGCGGCCCTAGCATATTCCGACGACGTCGCTCCTGCAGAAGCGCCATGCGGAGAGTAGTTGGTGTGGGCTGAAGAGCGAGAAGCTTTGGGAGAAGAGCTCCTCCTTTGGTACTCCCAGGCGTACGTTGCTCTCGCTCGCCTCTGCGTGTTGGACGACGAGTCGTAGGAGTAACCTGGCCCTGAGGAGCTTCCACCGCTGCTGCTAGCTGCGCCTTCCGACGAGCGCCGATCGTAGTCGCGCCTAACGAGCAGCATTGGTCGCGTCAACGCAACCAGTCTGGTGGAGACCATCAAAGCTCGGCCTTGCTCCCTCGGCTTCCCCGCACTGCATTCATTGGCCTAGACCAGGTCTTCACTCACCGACTCCGCTCATTGCCTAGCGTGGTCCAGGCTTCGGATACCTCTTGAAACTTTTTCTTCGCTCCCTCGTCATTTTTGTTGACATCAGGGTGCCATTTTTTTGAAAGCTGAGGCAAGCAGGAGCGCGGTGGCAGGGTGAGATGAGTTGCCCGGTCTTCGGAGCTGAGCATCACCACTTGGGCGAGAGGTCCTGGGTCCTGGCACCCCTGCCAACACTTACTCGGTAGAATTGCGCTTTGATGTCACGAGTCGAGGCATTTCTCGGAACCTCGAGAGTCTTGTAATAGTCTCTGCACAATGAGCTGGAGTGGAACAGTCGACGTCGCTCGATGCGAGCTCTGCACAGACTTTGCCGCAGGGCCGCGCTGGAAGAAGACTCGGCAAAAGCCGGCAGCACCTTGATAAGCTGGTCCGCACGCCGAGGCTGAGGTGTCGCTGGCAGACCACACGACAGCGAGCTGCCAACAGCGAGACACGAATGCGCGTGTCTCATGTTGAAGCTTCTTGGCGGCTATGAACCAGCTGAAAGGGTGGGAAGGGCAAGGTGAACGATTGAGGTCCGCGTAGTGATGGAAGGAAGGTCTGGCGCGGGCAGCGGGAAGAGGTCGTCCGTCCAATCTGCTGTCCACCTCAAACCATATCGCCTCCACATGCGTGCAGGGCGCGTGCGGCGTGCCGGATTCACGATTACCATACCGTACAGATCTTTCCGCCCGCGTGCTGCCAAACACCTTTGCGCGGCAGCATCTCCATCCACATTGTGATTTACAATACCGCCAACCGGTGTCATAATTCACCACCATTTGTAGGGGTCATCACCGCTTGTATCGCTGAGAAAACATGCCAAGATGCTGTCGAGTATGAGATGCATCGCAGTAGGTGTCGACGGCTGCGTCCTTGTTCTCAGCGGTCTGAAAGGTTGCCTCGAGACGAATGTCAATGATTTGTGCGGAATGAGAGACGAGGTGTGTGTAAGTGGCCGGACGCACAAGGCAGTCCTCTTGGTTCCGAGATACGGGAAGATTGAAGGTGGGAAACCCCCCTTCTCGGGCCGACTTGAAGCTGTCACCTACTGTTGTGTCCACATTCGTGTTGTGGACCGCACAAGGATCCACATTAAAAGTACACACAGATGGCAAAGAGTCATGAGTACTCTCTATCAACCACGAATACAAACATTGACACACACCACCTGTGTCTTTGTGCAGCAAGCAGGATGCGTACGGCTACAAATGCCCCAAAATCAAGAACGGAGCATGGCATGAGCTTATCGTGAATCTACATACATCAGCACTTGGACCAGCTGCAGAGTTCCGGCCCTGCCCCGTTGTTGTGGTCATTAGAAGTTACTCATGTTGTTATTGCGTATATACGTGCAGGAGAGACTTAAATATTTACGACTTAGTAATGTTATTATCGCGTATATACGTGCAGGAAGGAGACCACGACTACACTCCGACACAAGACAATGCAGAGGGGGAGGCAATGCGCACCAGTGACCAAGACGAAGAGGCGTTTGCAGCAGCGTTGACACGCTTTTGATCCACCGACAAGGTGCTCGATAGCACAGAAGCTGAGCGCTTAGCGTTAGGGTCAAGGTTAGCATAGAGATTCGATGCGCTGCCCATGATGGGCAAAGTGTCCATCGTGGGATGCAAGGAGTTGATGGGGCTTCTCAAGTGTGGTGGCGCTGACGTAGGAGACCGTGAAGAAGGTGCAGCCCCGCGGAATTTCTCTGCCCTCAAAGGCAAAAGACAGCTGAGCGCCTTGGAGTTGCAATTGGGAAGAGCGGAGAGTGAGTCGCTGAAGATCAGTGACCGGAGGGACCAGCCAAATATCTGCAGAGCGTAAGATGTTGCTGGTCGTGTTGAGGGTGACCTCAAACGTTGCGAGTCCTACGCTGCGCAGCTGTGCATCCAGGGTCATCCTGGCAGCTGTTTTTGCTTGCGGTGTCGCAAGCGAGATTGGATTTGTCGAGTCCACTGGGAACCGGCAGAAGCCTGCCGGCACGCGGACTTGATTGAAGTAGTGCCAGACTTTGTGGAAGGTCTCTTTGTTGAGATGACGCAGCGGTATTGGAGCGTACACGGCACCTAGGTGCTGCGTGTACGCATTAGTCGGCTGATGGCTCTCGGTGTCATCGTGTTGTGCCAGGGCCATCTCGGTGTTGCCAATGGCACTGTTGTTGGCGCCACCCATGCTATTGGCAGGTGGGCTTGGCGTGAGAGCAGTGGCGGCTTCTGCGGCCCCAATTGTAGTGGCCGCAGCGTCGTTGGACCCATCCTCGGGGCTGGGCGATGCCATCGGTTCTCTCGGCCTGACTAGCTCCAGTACGCCCCACATGAACTCGATGCGTTGCCCATGGTAGGCATCTGGCCATCGAGCTCTAGTGCCTTCATTCACAGGTCCCCGGAGCGACCTTGGTGGAGAAGGTGGAGGGTTCTGGAGTCGGCGTCCGCACTGTTGGAGTGTCTCACTTCTCTTTCGGCCCTGTCGTCGTCTTTCTTGCCGACCGCAGGGTAGCGCTTAAGGGGTAGTGAATTGTTCTGCTTCCGGTGCGGCGTAGCCCCGCTCCTGAGAGTAGGTGCTATAGCATCGTACTTTGCCGATGTCTTCATCGACAAACGCAAGGGGTGGAGAAGGTAGAGGATCTGGATCCGGAGCCTCTTGGCCAATCGTGTCACGATCGACAAGATTGCTCCAGAGCGAGGACTGCGCTACCCATCACTAGTCGGTCTTGGTGAGGCTTTGTGTTGGTGCACATTGCCAGTGTTGCTAGAAGGTTGCGAGTTACGTCGGGGTAAGAGACCCGAAGAGACACCTCAACTACGAGGATCGAATGTTTGTTGGCTACGCCGGGTCAGCACGGCACAAAGAAGGTGTACACGGGGGTGCAGGCAATGCTGATTGGAGTGTACGAGACTCTTGCTGAGGAGAGATGCTCTCCAGCTCAGGCAAGCAGACGTAGACAAATGAAGATGGTATTTGTCAGGAGGGATGGTAGCAAAATGCGATCGCCTCGTTCGTGCACATCGCATGCTTTATGTGCGAGCGCCAGCGAAGCAGGGCGAAGGACGCTGAAGAGACGGTTGCCAGCGATGCGTGCTGAGCTGGCGGTGACGTGCTGTCAGACACCTGCGTTGCGTGCAGACAGTCCCGCTGACACAGGTGTGAGGACGCAGTCTTGAATCGCGAGTCTTGAGCAGTCTCCGACTAGCCTGGCCTCGAAGGAGCAAGCTGGCGTGGCGCCGAGATGCCTTACTTGCCAGGTCTGAGGGTACGTCGGTCTCTGCTCTTGCTCTTATCGCTGCGTCAAGGGGTTGTTTGCTTGCTTCCATCCAGACCGTGAGGGGCCCGAGCGGGAGCGCTCGCGACGGAAGTTCGGATTGCGTGAGGATGGGACGGAAGAGTGGGGCAAAGCTGCTTGGTGCTCCATCGTTTCTGCAGGCGAGTGACTTTTTGCCGAAGCCACTCGCCTGCAGCAACGAGGGAACACCAGGCAGCTTGCTCCCACTCTCCCTTCCCAGCCTTACGCGCAGCGGGCACGCGCTGCAAAAAGATTGTTGCTTGGGCCATCACTCGTTGCGTCAGAGGTGATGAGGGGTACCTGTGCGTACGCGCTTTCCTTTGTTCTTTATCTGTCCGTCCCCACAGGACTGTTCATGCGCCTGCGCGTACATCGGTAGGCCCGCTCACGATCGCGCGTGAAGTGCCGCTATTTATAATTCACGTCCTTCAAAATTGTGATTAATTAATCATGACTTTTGAATTGGTTTGCCGCGCTGCACGTCCCACACTCACAGTGACTACGGTCTGTCTGGGGTCAAGGTGACTGCGACTGACTGACTGCCTTCGGCTCGGCGACTTGGAGCATCCTGCACCCGCACGACCCAGGCGCCGAGTCGTGTCCTTCAGCTGGTCCAAGTTTGCTGCTCACGCCTCTTCATCTCCATGCTTTCGCCCATCACCACCTTTGGAATTGTCGACAGCCTTGTCAGCCCGTCTTCGCTGTTCTGCCCTCGGCCAAGATCTTCCGTTACGGATACGCTCATAAAGGTTGCGCCGGACCTACCGAGCTGATGCTCATTATTTATTCATCAGGAATGGCTTTCCTTAGAGGCAGTGGGAGTTCGAGTTGGGAGTCCGGGCGCTCAGTCGTCAGAATCGTGGCTGGGCCATCCCGCATGGAGGAAGACTGCAAACTCCTCCTCAAGTGATGCGGCTTGGCTGTAGATATGCTGCCCCAGACATTTCAACGTCTGGGGATTGGTCTTTGGCATGCGCACCTGTCTCCAAGGCTGTCACGCCCCTTGGCGAAGATGAATTAGCGCACATCGAAAGCCGTAAGGCAAATCGAGCGAGCGTGACTTTACCTGCTACCAAGACCTGGTCTTTGCGCTCTGGCGCCTAGCCATTGCCATAACCAGGAGCGATTTTAGACATCATCAAACGCTGAGCCAAGTGGGCGGAGCTGCGGAGGCAGGAGCGCTGTCATTGTTCCGTGGTAGATCGGCACGCGTTGTGAGTGTCCAGCCGCTTAGTGAGCCAACTGACATGAGTCGATCCGTTGTTCCCAGGAATCCGAAACGAGCGTTGCAAGGACCGTGGAAATGCGGCGACATGAATGGTCGCAACAGGTGAATTAGTATTGCGCGAGCTGGACGGTGGCTGTAAATGCTCCGCTTCTGTCTTTTGAGCGTCGATCCGCAGCCGGGCCGCTAATATCACATTGGTCTTGTTGATCTCAGACTTTTGTGACGGCATTCTTGATCGTGGTGGGTTGATTTGGGTAGCGTATGGCTTAGTCAGCAATCATCAAATTTGCGATGGGAGTCCAAGGCCATTACCGAGCGTAGTGCTGCGGGCCGGGCGCTGACATGGATGGCGTATTCGGGCTGGGCAAAGCTGTACTTGTCATAGTGCCGACCCCTCTACATCCTTGGCCTGGCTAGGCCAAAATTTTTGTCTTACTCCTCGTGTCCGCCGTCTGAGAGAGGTCAAGAGAGGATGCTTCGGAGCTTGTTGGTGAGAGTGGTGTCATGTCGCAGAGACTCATCGTCCAACAGCAGGTCGTTCGTACTGGCGCTGACGAGCAACAGGTCTATGATGCCCCGCTCAAAAGTCCGAATTTGTGCGCGCGGAGTTCGCCATACCTACTTCCAGAGGGGCATGAAGATCAATCGTAGCTGGACGGGTTGATGCGGCGAGAACGGCTGCCATGAAGGGTGGTTGCGAAAGGGCGCGAAAAGTTTGCGCCTTTATCCAACGCCATTTGTGTGATCTTGACTCCCTGGGCGCATGCCGGGTGGCTTTTGATGTTGCAGTCACAGATTTCTTCACTGATGAGCCCCTGGTAGGTTTTGACATCCTGAGAGATCGCGCGCATGCAGCTCTCTCGAAAGACGAGGAGGGAGCCGCGAATAGCGAGAGCGCCGAATGCACATTGCGGTGTAAGTCTCGAAGCAGCGGAAAAAGTACGGATGTCACGAACTCGCTGAAGAGGAGGAAGAGCCGCGGACACTCGCCCAGGTGATGCGGATTGTTACGGCGTCTGCAAATGTTGAGAAGCGTCTGTCGAAGAAGTCGGACGGAATGCCATTCAGCCCACGTACAAGAAAACGCGAAAAGGTACTGCGGATGCGCTCAGGATTGTCAGTAATGTCCATGACCCTGCGCATCGAAGCAGTTGCATCCGAGCGTTTGCCTCTGCGAGGGTGCGAGGCCGGATGTTGGAGCGAGCCCATACCGGCGGTTGAACAGCTCTCCGCGAGCTCGTGTGAGGATTTCGTGAATCTGGCTTCGCCTGCTCATGGCGCTTCGATCGTGGATAGGCGCCTGGGAGTCCCGTCTTCAAAATTTAGGGTCTGCGCTCGATGTCCGACTGGGGCTAGCATGTTTATCAACAAGTAGCGACCATGCATGTCGCACCTTGTGCCAGTCTCGGTTCCCGGCAAGGTCCTCGTTGGGGTCCTCGCTGGCTGCTAGACCGATAATAATGAGGACAACTGTTTCTGCAAAGACGGCGGTGAATGAGGCATTCTGTTTCTCGAAGGCAAGGTGTCCCATGATTGGAGTGGACGTCTTTGCACGTGCTGGAGGAATCAACTTTTGCGTCTGTACGTCTGCGGCGGAGTCCGCCGAAGTGCCGTCGGCGGACAGGACAGGAGCGGCGAGGGTCGGCATGATCGCTCAGTGTTCCGGTTCAGTCCGCCCGCATGAATCAGATTTAGCTGGTGCATCTGAGGAGTGCGCAATTCTTCGGAGAGCGTTTCCCATTGCGTCGCGAGTAGTACTGACGGTGGGTTCTGATGGGCTCGATCGTTGACGAAGACGATCCTCTGCAGGCACGTCGGTTATGCCTGAGGTATGCAGAATATGCGTCGGAGCCCCCTGTTGCGCCGTGCGGAAATGTTGGCAGCATCCATTAGATAGGCCGTGTCTTAGCCATTGAGAAATTCGTCAGTTGCTGTTGAGGCGTGTGTTGGGACCACGCCTTGGTTCATCGGGGCCTTTTCTTCCTTGGGGATCCGCAAGAGTGCGCGGGTCCGCTGTCCATCTCTTTCGCTGAAGTTTCTTGAAACATCCATTTCGAGCTGCGCTGGCGTGACAGTTCTCTGGAGGTTCGCAAGCTGTTTCTTATCGAGAGGGGCGCGTCCAAGGGCCAAGGACGCAGAATCGCTCTGCGTGCGCCTCCGCAGCTGCCAAGGCCAGGGCAGCGTCCACCTTGCGTCGAGGGGCTGCAAATCTTCGCTTATCCAGCTTCTTTTGTCCTTTTGTTCAGCTGCCCGCACGTCCTCATAGGCCTGGTAAGCAACGATGTCTCATAGTGTTGCTCTACAGCGCCCACGCTGAGGCCGGCGGTCAGTGTATCCACCTCCTTTTGGTTTTGACACGGTTGTGGCTGTGCACAGCGTCCGTGAATGGCTTTCATTACTCTCGTTGAGTCGAGCTCACAATACGCTCCCCGGGATCGGACATCAATCGCGGCCTTCCGAAAGTGTCTTTCTTTGATGTTGGGGTACCACGAAGGATTCTTCGAAGCAGCGGTACCGCAGGAGGAGTGATGCTCGCATTCGTTTCCACCCCTCGCCTTGAACCTTGCTTGAAGTAGGGTGCGCTGGATTGGTAGGGTCAGGTACCTCGCTGCACGTCCACAGAATTGCGGATCGAGTGTCGTGAAGGTCAATGCGAGATGGAGGAAAGATGTCGGCACAGCATTGCATCGTCACTCTTCATTTGAGTCCAGATTTCGTCTGACAGTCTGTAGGGCCTTGAATTTGACGACAATTTCGTGGTCTAGTCCTAAGGTTGAAACAGTAGGTCGAGTCGACTGTCGGTGGATGCACGCGGTCACGGCGATTCCCGACAAAAAGAGTCCTCGTGAACTGACATCCGTCTCAGAAAATAGTGGAGCGGCCGTTGCCGCTGGGCGCTGGATGGCGTGGGAAGGCACTTCTCTACCATGTCGTGGCGCGAATCGGCCAAGTAGACAGCCCCCGTGAGAAGATCAAAGGGACGTGGAGTTGGTGAAAGGGCGTCCGGTCTGAAGCAGACTGCCGCCCCGCAGTTGGGTGCCGTTGCCAGTCCGAGGGCAAGGCAAGGGCTAAAAGGCCTCGGGAGGAGGATGAAGACGGTGCTGAAGAGGTCGGAGTGGAGCATCCTGAGGATGGTGTCGTCGACAGCGCGACTCGCGCTTTTCAAACGAATCTGGCCGAACGAAGGGGGCCTTAGCGCAATTCGATGGTGCATGGTGGCTTTGCGCTCGTCTTTTACGGGCTCTGGTTTTACCGATGCCGGCGCAGTACGTGGAATGTAGACGCGCGTAGCTTCTGGTACGGTGCATTTTCGATTTAGAGGCAAATGCGAAGCGATGTGTTGGGAGCCAATTTTGAATGTGGCGTTTGTCGACAACTTGCCGCTGACGGCGCCACTTCTTCTCTTTTGGGCACTCCGAAATTTGCAATCGGTATCATGCCATGCGCCGTCATCCGAGATTCAGTCGCCTGCACGTGCGGATCGCTTCTCGACGATTGTGGGCCAGACCGCAGGCATTCCAGCGCAAGGTGCGAGCGAGAGTTGGTCCTTGCTTTGCCGTGAGCCTTCTTGCTGTGAATATTCCCTCAGATAAAACGAAGATGAGCGTCGCGTTGAGTCATGAAACTCCCACTATGGAATGTGCACGGTAATCAACGGCGGGCTCTATGTTGGTGAAGCCCTGCTCATACGCGCAGCTGGTGTCAGAGTACAGACGAGGCCCTAGCTCGATAGAGGCACCTTTCCTTCGGCTTTAATTCCCCATTCGAACAGCCCGGTGCAGGGCTACGGGATGTCTACGATAAATATACTTGCGGCGATATGATGAGACATGAGTCGACCCCAGCCCAGTTGTCAGACTAGGCAACATGGACGGATAAATTTTGGGAGCAGGGACATTCACAGAAAAGTCAATGACCGCGCCGTCTTTCCTTCTTGTTGCAGTCTTGAGTGTCTGTGACGCTGGATGTACTACGCTGATGTATGTCCAGGCGCTCGCACCGGCGGCGTCTGGTGTCTACGACTTGTTCTGTGGCCCGAGGGAGCGCACAGGAATTCTGTGGCGACGGCAAGCAGTTATGAGCGGCAGATTCGTCTCGCTTGCATAGTTTGCCGCAGGACTCGAACCAGTCGAGTTCGCGTCTCGCTTGCGTAGGCTGCCACGCAGGACTCGAACCAGTCGTACGCGTCTCGCTTGCATAGTCTGCCACGCAGGACTCGAACCAGTCGAGCACGCGCGCGAGGCCGTCATGAAGTTATAAGGATCAACCTCGGCATGGGAGCTGAACCAATTGGGTACGCGCTTAGGTCGTATTGAGCATGTCGATGATGCCAGCACAACAAGATGATGGTGGTGTCGACGACGCAGTCATGGTGGTGAAGAAAGGAGAGCAGGATGCTTGTCCGCTTTGCTGCACGGGCGCGCAGGCGCGCGAGCGGCGCGTGTTTTCTGCAGCAACATATACGTGCAAGGAGAAAA